TTGGTCAAAGTGAGGTAAACAAAAAGGCTCTAAAAGTAGCACCAATTCTACAAAAGCCCCATTTCATTTGCATTTTACAATCGAATAGAACAATAGTTGCCAGATAGGCAATGCACATCCCGAAAATCGAAATTTTTTAGCTAGTTAGATTTTGGCAAAACACTTGTCTATGATGTCTAGTACTAATTGACCCACTTTTATTCCAAAAAATTTATATTGTATCAGAACTCCTTAGCCTGTGGTCAAACATATTGCCTTCTCTTGTTTGTGGGGAATGCAAGCCAAAGCACTAATTAATTTAAAATGGGGTGAGCGATAGACTTACCTCCACGTGGTGCACCCTGGGCAACGTATGCTCATTCGGCAAAAAAGTCTATCAACCGGCAGTTGACTTCTGACTTCAAACTACCATCACCCCACTGTATGTCATATTCTACCACTTCCACAGAACTCATCCTATCTTTTCTCTGCTTTTGTGTGTCTCTTTTACATCTGTAAATCACTCTTCTGTTCCCCACCCCTCAACTTCCCGTACTTTGATGTTCCTTCCCCCTGTGAAACCCGAAGTCAGCTAAAGGGCTGATGGCAACTATCAAAACGCCTGCCATTTTAAATAAATAAATAAATGTTTCAGCGTGTATGGTCATGTAAACCAGTAGGTAAAAATCGATTAGGAATTGGCATTTGCTGCAGGCAACAAAACACAGTTTGATGGCGAAAGCTCTCCATAGTAATCTTACCTTCATCAAAGCTAAAGAATAGACTGAAAAGTGCGAAAAGTACGGATTTACTCAGCTTATAGAACATTTTCAAGTATGGATACTTCTGTACTTTTTATTTGTAGTTATCTTATAAGAGCCCTATTTTAATACATCCCTAAGAAAACCGAACTGTCGATAACCTTAAATAATTTTAAGTGAGGGAAATCATTCGAAATACGTTATTGAGAAAGCAATTTTCATATCTCTCTTGTATGAAATATCAAGGTTCAAAGTCCCTTCCCCCCCCCCTGAATTATATTGTTTTACATACGAGATGTTGTGTTCAAGCCTTGGTATCTTCAACATCTTTTCTCCATACTTAAAACTTGCCATAAAAATAGATCAAAGCACTCTCTTTACTTAAGTAGCGCGTGTAACAGACTGTAAGCTCACTTATTGGTTCCAAAGTAAGGCTAACTCAGAGGCTACTTTAAGGGGCATTCCGTTTTCTCTTTGAATCGTTAATAATCATCTTGAGGACTTAGAGAATACGTCAGTCTTACCAGAATCAGGAGACCAAGACCTTAGTTGGTCTATAGCCACATTGGAAAGTCATCAGGAAAAGGGGAAGGTAGAGAAATAAACTTAGGACCAATGCGTTACTTTTTTCAGTAATTAGAAATAAGAGTTCGAGAATGGGTTCTTATCGACTGTGGGGTCAGTATTGCATCGTCTGCGTTTAATATGCCTTTACCGAATAGTATCCAATTCACCGAATGTATCGTCCTATGGCAGTCTAAGCGAGTGCCGTTAGGGAAGGCGTTAAATACGCTTAACTTGGAATAGAGTACAATATCCTGGAGTTATTCTAATGAGAAAAGTGCATTTCATGTCCCCCCGAGTTGGCCACCAACATCACTAGTTCTAAAGTGAAGTCAGCTGACAGTTACACACATATTTAAATTATTGTTTTAATAATCGGAAGTTCGAAATCATTAGCTCACAATTAGCTAATACCTCTCTAAATGCTTCACTTTTGAAATGGTAATTCTCTAAAGCAAAAACTGTAACTTATTCGTGGGGAGGGTCAACTACAAGCAGGGAATCATGGAAGCACATCTCATTTTATTATTCTGATGGTACAAAGCCAACTTATAAATGCTCTAATTCAACAGTAACTTCAAAATATTCATCCCGCCGATAAGGGAAATGCTTTGCTCAAAAAGTTTATTCTGAAATATTCCAGCCTCTATTCACAGTACTCTCATTCCAACTAAAACAAGATTCACCCTGGTGGTGGTGGTGGTGGTGGTGGTGTTAGCAACACTTCAGCAGAGCTGCTTTGATAAGAAATTCGGATTCAAAAGCACTTTATTGACTAGAATTAGTCAGTGTGGTTGGTTACCTCACTGAAAAAAGACGATTTCGTGACCTCTAACTTAGGTGATAACAATAGTGACAACTGCTCTTTATTATCAGCCCTGTTAACACGATTTTCGTTTAGACTTAAATCTCAGCAAGATGCAGATTAAAGCTTTCAGAATTAACTTCGATCTGGTTGAAACTATATTGGAATTATTTATTTATTTTGGATTTGAAAACTCCAGTTAATTGCTCCCATGTTAACCTAGTAAATGTGAATCAATGTAAAAGTGTTTATCTACGAATTTATTTTTCTCCTACACTTCCAATTTAGCATTGATTCTAAACCCCAATTCAATACGTTCTTAAGAAGTATTTTCAGGTTGAGTAACCATCCCACCTTGCTAACAATCACTATTAGCAATACGCATTCAGGTACGCTTGGTTAAAGTTTAGGAGCACTCCTTAAATACCTACTATCGACAGAATAAGTCAATTCATTTAAAAATAACTTCGGATTTCATAAATGAAACAAAGTCTTTCATGAAACCTGCTACAGAAGAGAAGCTGAATTATTATTGCTACCAAGGATTCATCTTACACCGATTCTAAGGTAATTTCATTAAGCTTTGATAGTGACCCTATTCTAGTACAACAATTGCCTTTGTTGACGGGGAAATTTAGCTAGAATGGCAAAACAAGATGTATCAAAGAACATATTTATACTAAATAAAAACATTGTCGTCGGATATGGCTGTTTACATTACGGGCTAATTAGGTTTACGATTTTGCATATTGAGCTTAGTTACCCAGATAGGTGGTTGGCTACTTAAAGAACTAAAACAGTAATCTTACCTTAAACCTACTAATTGCGCTGTAAAAGATGCAACCATACATGCTCAATCAGCATTTTTAGTACACTAAAAACGTTATCTAATTAAGTCTAAACTAATTTTATAGAGAAAAACAACCAATTTGCAATTCAGGCGATCAATAATCCAATAAATTAATCAAATACTGTTACTGCATCTTATGCCTCAGTTAGTATTAATCGGATGAATAATCAATGCACTAACGTCGTACTTCCACCTTATTAAATTGCGCGTTAACTTGCAAACCTTGAATATATAAAAATATTTTTTCTTTACAAAACTAAAATACCAGACCTAAGAGTAAATAAGTCTAATGCAAATAACTTCCACAACAGCCATAAAGTAGGAGCAAATTTTATAGCCAAGTTCATGTATTCCAGATTTAGAATAATTCGGTGGTTATTTTGAAAGACAAAGTCATGACCTAATTGTTCCTAGACAATCAGATAGAAAAAATAAAACAGGTTCACTAAACACGTATTTATTCAGTATAAAAGTGAGTGAGATTCAATACGCGCAAATGGAAAAGCATGTGTGTAAGGTTTGAAGATAGTGAAGAGAAAGTGGTGGTATATGGGAAAATCTATGTACACAAGAGCAAAAAATGCATCAAGGTTTTTTAAACGAAATGGAAATGTTGTGGAGACAGAGACAAGCGTTAACCAAAGATAGAGCCACACACAAAAGAGATGATAAACAGACGTACACAAAGACGCACTAGTTTCTACACCTAGCCTCTACTTAGACTTTACAAAAAATAGACAAATATTATTAGAGGGCTTGGGAAAAGCAGAAAGGATATGAAGAAATGCCAAATAGATTAGTAAAACACACATTGTGCATTATCTTCATGGAGAGTCGCTGCTCTTCACTTTTCCAACTCCCGGAGCAAAGGACGAAAAACCGGAATTTCTACAAAAAATTAGGAAAATAAAAATGTTTAAATAACTGACAAAGGGGGTTAGGATTTAAAAAAACAATGACAAAATAGCGAAGCGCCAAATTAACAAAGAACCAAAACACTACATGCCTTTAACTAACACTCACAATGTCTAAACATCGGCGTTCGAGAACGCGGATGGCTAAATTTGGTCCTAATTGAGCATCATGAAAGTGGAGATAAACAGCGCACCACTATCACAGATACAAGTAAATAGAACTCACCCATGCGATTGCATCACATCCATTGCAGGGTTAGGTGATTCAGTGGGCTTCGCTGCGTCTCCGCTAGGATTAGCTGGAGTGTTTGATCCTGGAGCTCCACTGGGTGTACCATTTCCACTTCCATTAGGTGGTGCAGGGCTACTAGATGACGGCTTGGACATAATAGGAACACTCTGACTAGACGCCTGTTGAGAAGCCAGAGTCTGCTGCAACTGTTGAACAGCAGTGGCTGCCATATTTTGCTGACTCTGTTGGTGTGAGGATTGGCCTTGCTGCTGAGACGATTGATTTTGTTGCTGGCTTGGATTTTGCGAGGACTGCTGTTGTTGGTTAGCCAAAGCAGAAAGACTAGCAGAGAAATTGGGGGCAAGGAATGGACCGTAAGGACCTGGGATGCCACTTTGAGAAAACTGTGGAGGATTACCACCACTTCCGGGAGGTGGTGGAAGTAGACCAGGAATGGAAGATGGTGCATTGTTTCCTAAAAGACCTCCAGGGCCACTAGGACCTCCTGGTCCATGAGGACCAGGCAATCCCCCATTGTTATTAGATGGTCCACCCAGGCCACCAGCTGATGCGAAATTATTTGCAAGGAGACCTGGAGGTAAAGTGAGCCCCATGGAGCCAGCACCAGCAGTTCCTGCAAAAGGGGGCATCGAGAGTACTGCAGCCATTGCAGCGTGGTTGTTCAGAGCAGCAGCGTTAGCAAGAGCTAGGGGATTATTACCATGACTATTTAAACCGCTGTAGGGATTCGATTGTGCACCTTGCAAGTACTCCTTGTTGACACAATTACGTAGTCCCGCGTGACCCCTGTTAATGAGCGCGCGTCGAATTTCATTGGCAGCAGCTTCACGCATTTCTCTTACACTACTCTCGCTGTAGTATGCCATATGTGGGGTCACAATAAGATTGGGTGCATCCTTCAGAGGACCTTAAAATTTGGACAAAACTTGATACATAATATCTTAATGCAAGTGGTATATTCTAAAGAGGTCAGTAAATACCAGATAGGAGATCTGAATCCATGACATCTAATGCAGCTGCTCGAATAACACCTGACTTGAGAGCACTGGCTAAGGCGACTTCATCAATCAAACCAGCACGAGATGTATTAACTAAGAAAGCTCCTACACAAAAGGGTATTAACTAACTCCAATTTTCAAGGTTAAGACTTACCTTTCCGCATCATTTTAATAGTATCCGCATTAATCATTCCACGATTTTGATCGTGCAAAGTGCAATGAAGAGAAACGCAATCACTCTGATAAAGAAGATCTTGGAGATTGTAAACGCGAACAATGCCAAGGGACTTTTCAATACCATCGCAGAGATAGGGGTCGTAAAATGCAACTCGGAATCCGAATGCTATTGCACGAAGTGCTACTGCAGCTCCAATTCGGCCTTTAAAAAAAATATGAAACCGTCAAAACGTGCACAAACAAGAAGAGTTTTCTTTAACTAGACTGTGCACTGAAGATGGTAAGAAATGACATGCTGCAACAATAGCGTGCGCTACCCTAATGCAACAAAATGAATATGAATAACAAATATGAGCAAAAATACATAAAACGGCTATGACTGCCATTTACCAAGGCCAACGATGCCTAAAGTATCGCCACGAATACGAGCAGTCCCAGCGGCAGCGTCTTTTAAATGTTCTGGTCCATTAATGCGTTTCCCACTGCGAACCATATCAGCGAGCCAAGGAGTACGGCGGTAAAGGTTCAAAATATGAGACATTGTAGTGTCGGCAGCTTCCTCGACACCAAAGCCAGGAACATTACAAACTGCAATTCCTAATTCCCCAGCAGTTTTAATATCAATATTATCGCAACCACTAGACAAAAGATTAGATTAAACGAAAGAGCGTACCTTCCGATACGCACAATAATCTTAAGGTTCTTGAACTTCTGCAAGTCCTCACGATTAAGGGAAATTGAGTGCCACATCAAGGCTCCAAAGGCTTCATTAAGCACCTTTTCATGAATTTCAGCCGTCCCGGAAGCATCGCAAAATGCAACCGTTGCTACATCCTTCAGTATGGGCATCTCTACCGTACAATCCCTTCCATCAAGAAGGGCCACTAAGGGTCGTGAATAATGAGGACCATTTGGACGAGCACCTGCCATTGCTACAAAATAATAACTAATGCTTAATCACGTGGCATTTATTGCAAGTAGTTTCAAAAGTCTCATTAAAAATATTTCAATTAAAAACGAATTTTAAAAAGCGCCAAATATTTCAAATAAAGAACATACGAAAGGAGCACCGACGATGAGGCTATAACGTTCGTAATGACGCAGGCGAATGACATACAAGGAGTGATATTTTCATTTTCAAGCAAATCAACCCGATGCAGGTTTCTTAGCATTAATGCTAAGAAACCTAAGGCTCGCGCTAGTGCATGAGTGCGCACGTGTGTGAGCGTGTGCGTCGTATGTGTCCTTAGCGCAGCGCATAACATCTCGTTTTAACAACCGCCTCCCCGGTCTTCCCCCCCCCCCCTAATCTCTAAAACCCCTCAAAGGATGGAAAATCGAAGACACGCCGCAGACAAACCTTGAGAGAGGGCGGTGGGTAAGTGATGCGTTCGTGCGTGTGTATCTCTTTATGAGTGCCTCCAGTTGGTTCCCTCTCACCCATACACATTTATCTATTTCCACCCTCTCCCACAGAGCTGTCGCACTAGTTAACGACAAAATGTTAACTATCGTTCAATGTGTGCGTGTGTCTGTATATGGATATATGTATGTCTGTACCTCTGGTCTGTTTTTACCTCACATGATAATTTTAATATAACTAACACGTCCGCACTTGCAAACTTAGACTTACGCCTATGAAAAAGGACGCCAATCACTACCTCAAAGAACATGCACTTTGCTTGTTTTTTTATCGATTGATAACCATGTTGCTCATTAAGTGTGCACTTGCGGTTGTAAAACGGCATGGAACCAGGTGTCTCTACTTTTCACAGATGTAGCAAGGCACACATTGTTTTTTTTAATATATTGGCGTCTGATAAGTTTGAAACAGGGTGCAGTACAAAGAAAACTTCGACGAGAGCAAGTGGCCGGACCAATCAATATAAAGTATGTTACTGTAAAAGCACAACCAATGCGGCCCCAGCTTGTTCTAAGGCCATACAGGTGCACATTTTATAGGGGACTTTCTATCTTTGTGATCGTTTGTTTGACCCTTTGGAGGGATTTGAATAATTTACTTAGGTTAAAAAGTAAGTAAGCTGTTAGATATGTGAGATTGGCGCTCTTCACCTTATGAAAGTTCATGAAGTTCAATAAAATGCATTTGCAATACATTTCAGCTTATTGATTTTTTACCATAACTACTGTGCAGTATTGATTTTAATTAATTATGTTTCTACTCCGTGTTTAGGATACGAATTTAATTTATTGCGGTTGAATAACATTATGGTGAATTAACTAACTTAAGAGTTGATATCAGTTGTTTACTTTTAGGCTTTCATTAAAGAACGCTATTTAATTCCTGTTCCATTCCGCATAAAATTTGTTTGTATTGCTCTTGGAGGCTAGCAACAGAAACATAGTCGACGTGTGCACAAAAATGTCCTTTTATCATATTCCATTAGGGTTTTAACCATATCGATCCTTAACCAACTCTTTAGGCAATGTTTAAAAAACTCTTAACAGGCATTCTCTCAATTTACATATAGCTTGCCAATATGCTAATAGGAGATATGCTATCAGGTCGGATTTACAGTGTGAAATAGGGCTCAGTAATTTATGCTGCTAAAAGTCGTGTTAATATGCAGTGGAGAGAAATTGTTATTAATTAAGTCCATTGTCATTCTCACGACTGACTTAAAACTGTCACATGCTAATAATAACTTCATTTTAAATTAAGCAAATATCCATTAATTCTTTTCAAATACGAATTTGAAGTTTGTTTATTTTACAATTCACACTAAAAGGTGGGTATTAGTTTCCCAATAAACATTTCGGAAAATTGGCCAAAATTAGTCTATTTCAACATTCTATTTGAAAGAGTCTCTCCTTCCATAATACAGTTAATTCGAATGAGTGCACTTAGTTGGGAATCATTTGCTGGAAATTTAATTGGCGATTCATCATACTCAGTTTTATACTTTGATGGGAAAGAAAATTGTCATATAGCAGTAAGCTTTATTATTGTACAAGGTGAGTGCCTGTGAGGCCGTGGTTAAAGTTTACCGATTTTTATGAACGGAGGTTTGAATTCACGTACAGTTTCGTGGCATAAAGTGTCAAGAAATAACTTAAATTGGTTTCAACCTAAAAGGAATAAAAAAGCTGACATTGTGCTTGCTTTTGTAAAGAGTGAGTATCCCGATCTCGTCTTTATTTCAGTAGAATTTTAGGCTGCTGTGAGCTACGATCAGCAGGCTTGAAGTTATAAGCTACTTCTCCCTAGAATCTGGGTGATTTTATATTCATTGTATTTTGAGCTAATTGAGCAGTTGGTTTACCTTATAGATTTGTCATGCCTTCCAAGAGCAATCAGATGATTCTGCAAATAGGAATATTTATTCTAACAAAGCTCATCAAGGAGCTGGAAAGGATGGTTAAAAGCTGAGTATTTCATTGGTTAGTCTGACCACAAATGTTGCCCAGACATTTGTTGCTTCAATGCGATAGTATTTATATGTCCTGTGACCTGAACAATTATGTCCATAAAAACGTTTGTCGCCTAACAGAGATCTCGTATTTATTTATGGCTTTATGATTTCGGAGAGGAACGTCAAAGACGTAAAAATTCGAGAGGGGAAGAGAAGAGTGAATCACAGATGTAAGACAGACAGATACAGAGGTTGAGGAAAAAGGAAAGATGAGTACTCTGGAATTGGTCGAATAAGACATAGAGTTGGGTCATGGTAGGTCGAAGCCAACTGCCAGTTTATTGACTTTTTGCTGTAAGAGTATACATTGGCCAGGGTACATTACGTAGACGTAAGTCTGTCACGTATTGGATATTCAATGAGCAATCGCGAAACCTGTGGGTTGCGATGAGTAACTTCCAAGGATGTGTACCTTCATGAGTAATCACAATATGACCATTTTCCTGGTAGGTGCTTAAACTTATATCATATGTTGATTTAAATCCCTCCTGACCTTAGAGCAACCTCATAAAACTTTTAAAATTTTTACCTTATGTGACCTCAACAGTATCCATCTGCTGCGTTATCTTAAATTAAACTCAACTATGCTAATTCCACTGGGTTGTGCGATAGACTTACCTCCACGTGGTGCACCCTGGGCAACGTATATTCATACGGGTAAAAAGGTCTATCAACTGGCAGTTGACTTCTCACTTCTAACTACCATCACCTCACTTTAATTGTCACTGGTACGAAATGTTGTCTTTTTCAGTGAATCATAAATACTTTGACTTTGTGGTTTGTCGATTTGTTACACCATAATTAATCCAATACAATAAGCGGTGGATCTCATTACTGCTCTTGTTAATGAGTTTATCGAAGACTCAATTGATTGGGACATATGAACATTATACTTTTTTAGTATTTGAGGACAATAAAATGAAACATTAAAACCGACCAATTTTGTTAAGTTGCAAATCAAAGGACGATTCATGAAATCTGACTTTTGAAAAGTGAAACATCCATTTAACAAATATTCCATAACCCGATGATAGGAATCTATTTTAGGAAAGCTCTTAGATACTTTTACATTGTTCCTTTTGCATTTTTGACCACTGCAGAATTGCCACTTATTGAAATTGCTGTTGAGTGATGTCAATTACATTTCAAAACTAAAAATAATATTTTTTTGGCATTGATGTATATAATGCAAGTAGGAAACTTTGGTTGGCAATTACAAACTTTGTCGATCTTTGATTTTTTCCCCAACAGGTTGATTGAATTCGTAGTTATTTCCATTCAGTATAAATTAAATCAAACAATGTGCCGAATGCGTTATATTTATAAGTCAGATTGGATTGATTTCCTCTCTGGCACAATAAAATATTTAAAATAATATTGACTCAAAATTTGCTTCATTTTTTTACTATCGTGCAAGGGTGTAACGCAAAATACTATTTTGAAGAATTAAAATTTCATGGATTTAAATGCTTGTTTAATTAGATTAATAAAAAGGGTCCTTTAATCTTCACATCAATAAAATGAGTTGCATAAGGAGATGTATGGCTTTCAAGAGCAATATATTTTGAAGAATTGAGATTTCTCGGAAACATATGCCATAAGTGGGGCTTTTCAAGATATTTGGATACAATGTGTCAAAAAATTGCACTTCATTACAATCCTTTTTTATAATTAATTGTGTATAAATCTTGAGTGAATACGGCTTACCAAAGGGCGGTTACTTAAACCATTTTACCATCATATTCACACTTTAGTAAAAGTAATATGTCGAATGTCAAGTTAGGCCAATTCACTTTAATAACCATTTTAGAAAAGGAAATAGATAGAACTAGTATGATCGAACATCAAGGCTAAAAAGGCTAAATGTTGTACTGAATTTCAAACTCAAATGAGATCAGATTTTTTTTAATTTTTTCGGTTTTGCGCTCAGTGTCTTTGTATATTCTCTTTGTTGTATAATGAACCTATTGTAAATCGATTTCATTTGATCTCGACAATTGAAGTTACAATTGGCTTTGAATTACTATGTTATTTTGAACTACAATCATTCCTTTTCAACAAGCCATTTAGAACTCATTTGAATTTTATAGGCAAAAATAAATTTGACTTTTGGCGTCGATCACATTTTAAATAACTTAAGTAAGTAATGATTTGAATTTAAAGTGGAGTAGATTAACCTAGACGTTTTTAGTTTTCCACTTGACGGTTTCACACTTTGATATTGCCGATTAAGGTTTTATTGGGTGAATATGAGCTGAATGAACCGGCAAATACTTAATACATTCCTAATTTATGCACAACTTCTTCTATCTATCTAGCACATTTGAAGTGACATAGTTTTAGATCACAAGTGTCTCTCTATCCAGAGAATGATTTATGACAAAATCTAATCCTCCTAAACAAGCTAATTATGACATGGATTATGTAAATTGTTTTAGCCAAGAAATTCATGATATTATGTTGGAAGCAGAGTAAATCTAAGATATCGGATTTAAACTAGCTATCACTGTCTCCAATTGGTTTAGCTTTGAACTATCATCTATAGCAAATTGCCGGCTTTATGATAGTTATCAGTCCAACTCTAGCTGATTTCGGGCTTCACAGAGGGGTGGAGGAACATCAAAGTAGCAGAAAGTCTCGGGGAGGGGAACGGAAGATTGATTCACATACGTAAGAGAGAAAGAGACAAACAGGTTAAGGAAAAAGGTGAGGTGAGTACTATGAGAATGGTCGAATATGACATATATTGGGGTCATGATAGTTTAAAGTCTTTTATTGCCGTATGAGTAAACACTGCCCTGGATATATCGCGTAAACTGCTTTGCACTACCATAGTGAGGACAATTCGGGCCACTAAAGGCAAGATTCTTCCAGCATTAAAATTGTAATAAGTCATGAAGTAAGATATTACAAAATGAATCATTAATCAGGCCAATTTCATGGCTCAATCTCATGAAAATTCAATTCCCACTTTTTGTATCAAATTTAATTTCATCTCATTTTTCGATAAAACCCT